GGCCGGTTGGAACGGCGCGGGGATCGACGATCGGTCGGGTCGGCACCTTCCTCTTCTTCCTCCCCCCTTCTCTTTCTTCCACTTCTTCCTCCTCCCCTTCTCTTTTTTCCTCTTCCTCCTCCTCCTTCTTTTTCTTCTTCTTCCTTCCTCCTCCCTTCTTCCACCTACCTCCTCTCTGGCCGGCCGCGGGAGGAGCCCGGTGGCCGGACCACGGGCAGCCAACCTCGTTGGGGATGGCCGGCGAGGTGGGGTGCGTGGCTCGCCATGGCCGGCAATTTGCAGGCCGAGGCAGGCAGGCGCGCCGCCGGCCGAGCACGTCGTCAGGGGGTCTTCGAGGCGGGGCCGCGGCCGTGGGGCCACCGGATCCGGGCGGGTGCGTCGGCCGGCCGCCGGGGCGAGCGTCGCCGGGCGTGGGCGCGGCTCACGTGGGCACTAGGCCGCCGGTGCCGGCACCGTGGGTCGCCGAGACTGGGCGGCAGAGCAAAAGCGCGAAGGCGGAGCAAGCAAGCGGACGGCGGCGGGCAAGTGAAGCGAAGCAGCAGCGGGTCGAACCATCTCTTTGGAATAGGTTAGGGTTGGGACGTGGGCCGACCTTTTTAGTCATGGGCCTTTGCTGGGTGTCAGGTGACGACGGCACCCGGCAAAGATTTTTTTTTAAATTTCTTTGCCGGGTGCCCCATGACCTGGCACTCGGCAAAGGCTTCTTTGCCGGGTGCCCGGGGTGGCACCCGACAAATTTTTTTTTGTGGGGACTTGCTACAGTGATCACAAGTGGAGATGTCTGGGTTTTAGGCAGCCAACGTCGCAACTTGCTCGAAACTTTCTCAATTTTTTACTAGGGCCTCCATATGTGATAACAAGACACATCGACAAGTTTTGTGATTTTTGGACATCGTTTGGATTTTATATAATTTAAATAAACTTCCCCCGCGAGTACATCGTCATGTTACGACAACATGATGCGTGACATTTCATGCCACTTCCTGCATACGGCCTCGACATAGCCTAAATATCATGAATACTATTTTTTGAATGTCCAAATTCCATTATTTTATGTACCTGCAGTTCAAATTTGAAATAGTTAGAAAAATTCAATGAAACAAAAAAAAATTAAGGTAATATAGTTAAAAAACTCATAATTGTCCCAAATTTTGAAATAGGGATATATTTACTATAGCAAGTCACCACAAAAAATGGGGTCAAAAAAACAAAAAATAGTAATAATTTGCCGGGTGCCACCCCGGGCACCCGGCAAAGAAGCCTTTGCTGGGTGCCAGGTCATGGGGCACCCGGCAAAGAAATTTAAAAAAAATAAAAAAATTCTTTGCCGGTTGCCTAACGGCGTGGCACCCGGCAAAGGCTGACGGTAGCTGGCCACCGTCAAGCCGGTCACCTTTGCCGGCGGCCATATTTTGCCGAGTGGCCAGCACGCGGCAAAGACCAATTTTTGCCGACGGCTGGAATTTGCTGAGTGCCCGACACCCAGCAAAGGCTGCTTTGCCGGAGGCCTTTCTTTGCCGGGTGCCGCTAGGCCTGGCACCCGGCAAAGAATTCCTTTGCCGAGTGCCCGATAAAAAGCACCCGGCAAATTTTTTTGCTCCCGACAAATCAGCCGTTTCCTGTTGTGTACGATGGAAGTAAGGGGCCGGCCACTATCTACAGCTAAACGCGTAAGGATGGGTGGTGGTTAGGGACTCGAAGGCGCACTGTCACAGGCTACAGCGGCGAGCGGCTAACCACGACGACGGCGCGATTGTTCCGACGAATGTACGTACGCTCGACACAGTAGAAGTGGCGGATAAGCATTAGTGTCTCACCGTGGTGCACGCCCCACTAACGGTTGAAGCAGGGGAGCATTGTGGCGGTCTGGCCACGTGCGTCCGCACCGCGCGGCGACGCTCCGTGCGCGTTAGTTGACTACCTATGCCACCTACTGATGCGGGGAATTACGCCACGAAGCCCGAGTTGGTGATTAGGAAAAGGAAGGAACGGTGGCTCGTCACATGGTGCGGCTGTGGGGAGGTCACACGATTGAGCCCGAGCAGATTAAGACGAGGTGACCCCGATCGATGGCAGCAGTATGAGCACGGGCGCACAGACGACGAGACCTAGAGGCTTGGCGCGAAGCGCTTGAATTGGAGCGGCCGGACCTGAGCAGATCGCACCGGCGTCGGCTAGCGGGGACAAGCGCGGCAGAGCGTCACCACCATCGCCCCTACGACCGAGGGCATTGGCCCAGACATGATGGCCCTTGGCACCTGCCCAGAGCCTCTACACGATAGGTGAAACGAGGGGCAAAGCGAGCGCCACGATGCAAGGTGATGATAGCCGCAGCCTTGTCTCGTCCTCGTGCGCGGCTCGATGATCAGAGGGTGGCGCACGCACGCAGTGATAGCGGGGCCAGGCCATAGCCAGCCGAGACGGCCAACGCGAGGCAAAGGGCGCCGCGCGACACCGACTGGGCACACGAGCTAGCCAGCGGCAATAGTTCGGCCAATGCCTGAGTTCGGCGCTAGCAAGCGCACGCACGCGTGGTGACCACGCCCACAGGACCAACGGCCAAAACGGTGCCAAGCACGATTTTTGAAGCGAGCCAAAACTACTTAGCGTCTCGATTACGATTCAACCAATTCCACTAACCTGTAGCTGGTGCTAATAGCTAACCGGCGAAACAATGCTTATGACCAAAGGATGGCCCAAGAAAAAGATGGAGAGACGCCAAGATAAGATCATCGCGCTGAACGCCGGTTCGCGAACCGAGTACCAAATCATGGTTAACATCGCGTTCTAAGGAGGTTTGGGCAATTTTTACGAGAGCAACGTGACATCCAACCCAACTTCGACCTACACCATGCTCAAGTGCTTACTTAGAAGCAACCAGCAATACAAAAATATGAAACTGGTGTTTAAGTATTTTAGTTAGAACTTAAACGTAAAAATAGCATTGTCTTACTACTTTTTCATACTTAGAAAAGTTAAGGATTTCAGTGGGGGTTAAGTAACCATTAACTCTTTTGTCACAATTTTTAATAGGTCTAAACCTTGTTAAATTCAACCAACAAATACTTCATGCAATAGTACATACCTTATACTGACCCATAGGAGCAAAATATTTAAGCACCATTTAACTATTTTGCTCAATATAATTCGTCAAAAATGGTATTTTAACAATACTTTAAGTGTTTTCCGACTTAACAAAAAGAGCTTATCTTAACATCAAATTTGATTTTTGAGCTCTCAAGAACACTAGTTAACACTATTTATTTTGATTTTTCTAAACCATAAAAGTTAGTCACATAGGATTCACTTATCATTTCACGTGCGTTATAAAATTTTAAAACCTAATACTTGTTTGGCTAATCCCTCTCGTACCTGAATCTCGGTGCTAAGCAAGCTCGTAACACTAGGGGTGTTACATGTTGCAGGAGTATGTTCGAAATGTTTCAGCCGTCTTATGTTGCAATAAGTGTTTTCATGTTGCAAGTTGCAAGTGTTTTATCTAGATATTACATATTTTTCACACACATGTTTCAAGTGTATGTTCTAAATGTTTTATCTGCTTTAGACGTATGTTGCATTCAAGTATTTTATATTTCAGAGCTAGAGATTCATGGGGCACGGCCCAGGCGCCGGGGATGGGGCGTGGTGAGACGGGGCCGATGGGTGGGGCGTGTTGGGGGCCGGCGGTTGAGGTGCGCAGCGCACCTAGGGTCGTGTGGATAGGGGTAGAGATTCATGGGGCATGGCCCGGCGCGCGGGGATGGGGCATGGCGAGACGGGGCCGATGGGTGGGGCGTGCTGGGGGCCGGCGGTCGAGGTGCGCGGCGCACCTAGGGGTGTGTGGACGGGGCGCGCTCGTCTAGTCTTCCTCATCTCGGCTCGTGGGTCTTGCCCGTGCGGAGAGAGGAGGGGGTTCAGGGGGGAGGAGCGCATGGGAGCGGCGGCGGGCGCAAGGAGGAGGCCTAGCGTCAACTCGCGGAGAGAGAGGAGGTGTAAGGAGGAAGGAGCGGCGGCGCGGCGTTTCCACGGGCGTGCGTGACGAAGGAGGCGCAGGCGTCCGGGTGCGCTTCGGACGTCCTGGCGCTAGTATCTCCCTGTAATTAAAGAGAACATGCCGGAAACATCCGGGCGATTATGCATGAAATATGTTTAATACTGGATAATATCACCCAAGATGCTAAAAAATGGTCGATATTAATCTTTTCCTTTCCAGCATAGATTGCTTCTGCACTTCCTTGTGTTCTTCTCTGTGCTGCCATCTCAACGAGTGTATATAACTTCTTATAAGTGGCACCTGCGTCATCAGAATAATTTAACAGTTTACCCTCACTCAGCATTTCTGTGGTCAGTAATTTAGTTTAGACAGCATTTTACATCATCCAATGCTTCTGCTGCTGCTGCATGGTTCTCCTCAAGAGAGTGCCTGTGAAGAAGAGCCAATACGATTCAAGGATGTACCCAATAAGTTTCCAAAAGCATTGCCTGATACCCCAGCTTACCAAATACAAATGTCCTGACATTATCATGCGACACCAGATCAATTTAACACGTCTTAATATTGCATTACCTTTTTAGCATCATCTTTCTTTCAGTTTAGGAACATGGTAGGCCGGTCATAGCGAAGACATCACACATGTCAATGGAATCTAGAAAAGCCGACCTCACTTGTCGTTCCAATCCAAGCAAATTCTTCTCGTACAACAAATAACAAGGGAAATAGATGAATAAAAAGGATTGTTTTACATTCCATAAGGAATTTAATTTCTCAAATGTTTTTTTAAATGGAATTAAATAAACCATTAAAGTATGGCATCGATGTCCTTTATGGTCACAAGTAAATTTCAGGAGTCAGGACAGCACCACATGCTCTACCTGATCCCAGAGGCCAACGGGATTCTCATCGACACCATCGAGCCATTGGACATGCATCCAGACAACAGCGTCGTGTTCCTCTCCTTTGGGAGCATATGGGCACGTTCCCCAAGGAGCAACTTGAGGAGATGGCCATTGGGCTGGAGAAGTCAGGGCAGAGGTTTCAATGGGTAGTGCGGAGCCCACGATGCAACCCTGAGGACGTGTTGGGTCCGTCACTCCCGGAGCCGGACCTCAAGGCCCTCCTCCCGGAGGGGTTTTTGGACAGGACCAAGGTCAAAGGCCTTGTGCTCAAGTCTTGGACACCACAAGTGGATGTGCTACGCCATAGAGCGTCTGGTGCATTTGTCACACACTATGGGTGGAACTCGACACTAGAGGGCATCATGGCAGGGTTGCCCCTGCTATGCTGACTATTGTATGCAGAGTAGAGGATGAACAACGTGTTTATTGTGGAAGAGATGAAGCTCGGGGTGGAAATGAATGTCTACGATGAAGAAATGGTGAAGGCAAAGGAGGTGGAGACGAATGTTAAGTGGGTGATGGAGTCTCAAGGTGGGTGAGCACTCAAAAATAGATACTGGCGGAGGTAAAAGATAGAGTGGTCAAGGTACTCACAGAAGGTGGATCATCTCATGCTGCTTTTATTGAATTCTTGAAGGATATCGATGGTGCTCCTGGAGCCGCCCGTCAAGTCAACCGCCTCCGGCGCCAGCTTCGTCGAGAGCCTCGCCGCCTCCAACCCGTCCGTCACCTTCCACGTCCTCCCGCCGATCCCGCCCCCTGACTTCGCCAGCTCCACCAAGCACCCTTTCCTCCTCCTGCAGGAGCTGCTGGGCCAGTACAACGACAAGCTCGAGAGCTTCCTCCGCTCCACCCCCCGGGAGCGCCTGCACTCCCTTGTCATCGATATGTTCTGCACCGACGCCATCGACGTGTCCGCAAAGGTGGGCGTCCCCGTCTACACGTTCTTCGCGGCGAACGCTGGAGCTCTGGCCGTCCTAACCCAGACGGCGGCGCTGCTTGCCGGTCGGCAAACGGGCCTGAAGGAGCTCGGGGACACGCCCATCGAGTTCCTTGGCGTCCCGCCGATGCCGGCGTCCCATATCATCAGGGAGATGCTCGAGGACCCGGAGGACGAGGTGTGCAAGACCATGGCGGAGATCTGGAAGCGCGACACGACGGACACCCGGGGCGTCCTGGTCAACACCTTCGACTCACTGGAGGGCCGGGCCCTGCAGGCGTTCAGGGACCCGCTGTGCGTCCCTGGCAAAGTGTTGCCTCCTGTTTACTCCATCGGACCGTTGGTTGGCACGGGCGGCACGAAGAGAGAGGAAGCGGAGAAGAGGCACGACACAGGTTTCATCAAGGCTGAGGAGATAGAGACGAAGGTGAGGCTTGTGTTGGAGTCCGAGGAGGGGATTAGAACGCGAGCGGCAGAGCTGAAGAAAGAGGCACACGCGGCGTTGGAGGACGGGGGATCGTCACAGGCGGCATTTCTCCAATTCTTGTCAGATGTTAAGAATTTTAGTGAGTAGCTCGAGGAGTGACGAATCTTTAGCCACTTTTTGTCTTTGTCCAGCCTTTTGTCATTCCTCGTGTACTCTTCCCTGTTGTCGAGTTAACCATTTTGTGCAACTACTCCAACAAAGAACATTTTGTGCCTCTTCTTAAGAAGCATCTACTATATGAATAAAAGAAACAACGACGATTGGCATACGGCTTACTTGACCTTGAAATCACAGAGCTCTTTTTCTCTAGGAATCGATCGGAGAGCTCTTGCTCAGATTACACATATACGATCACCCCCACAAAATCAATCAATTAACCCAACCCAACCCATGGCATGGGTTGCACCCAACAAATTAGCACCATACACAGGAATCAATATATTAATTAACAAATAAAGATCACAACGCTATTCAGGCACCCTTGATGAAATTCCATGGAGCCGGGTCTTGATCTCTCACATGTGATGCCATGTGTCATTCATCAAGCGTAGGGGTCCATGTGAGAGATTTGGACCCCGGGTCCATGCAATTTTTATTTACGGTCACGTATACGTGATTTGGGAGTTAAATTACATGCACGAAATAATGCTCACGGCAGCTATGGCTTATTAAATTATTCCATGTCTAAAGTTACAAAATAAAAAAACTACTATATCTGATAGATCACACATGCATCAATTAGATCTAGAAAATAAAATTTATATCTAAAAATTTCCTTATGTATTTTATTTTTACCAAATTTAAAATCAAATAAATATATATTTCATCTATTACCTCCTAGGAAGTAATAGATGATTCTAACCATCCAATCTAATTAAATGAACGGCTCATGGCCTGACAAAATCTCTATTGATTTTTTTCAGAGCTCTTGGGGGATAATTAGAATGGATATTATTCAGCTTTTTGATGTTTTTTATAACCATAAAGTGGATATTAACATGCTTAATTATGGCATTATTACCATTTTACCTAAAGTGAAAGAGGCCAATCAGATTCAACAGTTTCGGCCCATTTGTTTGTTAAACTGTCTATATAAAGTGGTTACTAAAACTTTGACCATCAGGTTGTGGAAGGTGTTGCAGATAAGCTAATCCACACTACACAAACTGCTTTTACGAAAAACAGGAACATTGTATCAGGGATAGTGAGTTTACATGAAATTTTACATGAGACTAAAAGGAGGAAAGAAATAGGGGTGATTTTGAAGTTAGATTTTGAAAAGGCATACGACAAGGTGAACTGGAACCTGCTGTTTACCTGTTTGGAAAAAAGAGGCTTTGATAAGAAATGGTGTGAATGGATAAGGCAAGTAGTTTCTGGGGGGGCTGTTAGTGTGAAGGTTAATAACAAAATTGGTTCATACATCAAAAGTTTTAAGGGTGTGAGACATGGTGATCCATTATCACCAATACTGTTTAATTTTGTTGCAGATTGCTTAACTAGAACGGTGCATAAGGCGCAAGAAAATGGTCTGATAACTGGTTTAATTAGTCATATTGTCCCCAAAGGCGTGTCCATTTTACAGTATGCTGACGATACTATTATCTTCTTGAAACATGACTTAGAGGGGGCAATGCATACAAAACTACTTTTATATCTGTTTGAAATGCTTGCTGGTTTGAAAATTAATTTCAATAAGAGTGAAGTTTTGATGGTTAATGATGATGAGAGTTGGGGGCCTCAATATGCTGATGTTTTTAATTGTCAAATAGGTTTGTTTCCAATCAAGTATTTGGGGGTTCCTATTAGCCCAAGTAGATAGTGATTGATTGGTTACCTTTAGTGGAGAAAGGTAATAAAAAATTGGATATTTGGAAGGGGAACACTATCTATCGCTGGCAGATCCACCCTTACAAGTGCTAGTCTGAATAATTCCCCTATGTACCATATGCCAGTTTATCTTCTCCCAAAAACTACCATTAAGAATCTGGATAAGATTAGGATATCTTTTTTCTGCCAAGGTGGTGGGACAAAAAAGAAATACCATCTTATCAAATGGGAAACTATCTACAAGAGTAAAAAATATGATGGTTTGGGGATCAAGGATCTTAGAAGGATGAACATCAGTTTACTATGCAAGTGGTGGCGGAAGCTAGAAAAGGAGGAAGGTCTTTGGCAAGAGATTGTTAAATATAAATATTTGAAAAATCAGACTATTCATGACGTTAAACATAAACTTAATGACTCTCCAATGTGGTATGACTTATTGAAAATTAAGCACATCTACTTACAAGGAAGAGGTATCTCTATAGGTGATGGTGTTTTTGACTAGATTTTGGCTTGACCCATGGTTATACAAGGAACCTCTATATGTGATTGTTCCTATACTGTTTGAATTATGTGAAAATAAGAATATTTCTGTTGCACAAGCTTTGAATGGAACTCAGATTTCTCTCCGAAGATGGCTTTTTGATGATCTCAGGTCTACTTGGGAAACAATTTGGCTTGACGCTGTGAATTTTTTGCTGACATCTAATGTTGATTCTGTTCTTTGGTTGATAGGGAAAAGTAGTATATTTTCTGTAAAATCAGTTTACAATGCTCTCACCAAATCCTCATCCGGGACTTGTCATAAGAAAATTTGGAAAGGTAAAATTCCTGAGAAAATCAAGATCTTTCTTTGGCTAATGTCTAATGATGCAATTTTAACCAAAGATAACTTAAATAAAAGGAAATGCCAAGGTGATCCAAATTGCGTGTTATGTGACTGAAGAAACCATTTCACATCTGTTTTTTCAATGCCCTATGGCCAAGGTAATCTAGGGTGTTGTAGCTAAATGCTTTGGCGCCCATAACATTCCTATGAACTTGCAACAATGTTGGCTATGGTGAGATAAGTGGCTCCCTTTTGGGAAGAAATACCACCCATGGGGAATTACGCCTATTTGCTGGGCAATTTGGAAGTGTAGAAATAAAAGCAGTCTTCGATAAAAAAACTAATAAAAATCCTCTTGAGATTATTTGTCACGCATGTGCGCTCATGTCATATTGGTCAGGGCTTTATGCAGAACTTGACCAAGAACAGCTGGTGGAGAGGGCAAACACAATGCTCCGAGTTGCCAAGGAGGTCCTCGCAACTCAGACCGCAAGACAGGTGAACCACTTGCTACTTCAAGATGTTGAATGTTCAGATCGTGAAGATGATAATCCTGTGTGAGGAGCTGGCATCTCGTCTGGTGATGCTCAAGATGATCTAAGCAAAGTATTTCGAGTTTGTAGACAGTTTATTCTGGACGATGGTTTTTGTCTGTTGGTTGGTTGTATCGTTCTTTTTCAACTTTCAGGCGATTACGACTACTGTGAGGTTGTAGCCCTTCTTTTGGTTAATAGGGTACAAGGTCAGTTTAGGTCTCTAAGGAAAATGGATCATTGGTCCATTTACTTTGGATTTTAGTGTTTGATGATCAACAAAACTAAATTAGACTAACATGTTTGCGAGTGATTATTTTGTAGTTCAACAGGATGCAATCGTGACTTGAACGAAGGCGACGAGGCGATCCGAAGATCAACACCTCACACAAGACCTTGATGACACATTGAATATCTACTAGATCAAGCAAAGTTCAGGCAAAAAAAATAATGGAACAAACTCAGCTGCAATGCTGACAAAGAAATAAATACAAAAAAAAGAAGAGGAAAAAGCAATGCACAACGTGCATGCAAGGGAGAGGTGCACGTACTGATGTTTGCTTGCTTCAGTCAAGAAACCGCAGCAGCGCGTGCACTAGCCAGGGCAGCAGCAGCAAGCAGTGCAGCAGCAGTCCAGCGCAGCATCAGGAGGCGTGGGACGTGGGCTGGAGCGGGCGTCGGACCATCTGCGGTCACTGTTCACGCGAGGAAGTAAAACAGCCTGGGAACGTCGGACCCTGCTTCACGGCAGCGTCGGACACACGCACTCAGCGTAACGGTTTCACCCAGCAAACGGAGAGGGCCCGAGAGAGGATCGCAGGGCGTTGGACCCTGTTCGACGAAGCTGCGTCGGACCGTCAGACGAATTGGGCCTAGCGGGCAGTGACAGCCCAACGGTTCTTTAGACGTGATAGAAGGCGGCGTCGGACAGTCCGACGCTGACGGTCACCAGAAAGGCCAAATTGGTGTTGTTGGAGCTCAGGAAGACTCGTGTGAGTTGAGGCTCATCTTTAATTGCTCTAACCACCAAAGTGATTAGTGAATTATTAGGTGATTAACGTATGTGCTTTACTTTATGAAGTGCTTAGGTTAGTTAGACCATCGCTTTACGCTTGCTCTAGGTTTAGGCATAGTATTTAGCGAGATTTGTACACCTCTTATCATCCGGCGCTTGTACGCACCATTGTTGTACTCGACGGAGCTTATTTTCTTACGAGATCATGCCAACCACGATTGTGGTATAGCCGTCACTGTGTATGGAGGGAATAAGGCTCGCGGTGTTTTGATCGAAAGCTTGATAGTGAAGATGGTGGGGAAGCGGTATAGGAGAGGCTTGCCGAAAGGCACACCGGAGACCCACTTACACGTGAAAAGGCCCAGGATATCCATGAAGTTAATCGATCGAAAGCTTGGCCCTTGTGAGGGGCTCCAATGAAGACTAGAGAGAAGCTTAAACACTTCTCGATACCTCGATAAAAATAACGAAGCATCGACGGGAGTTTACATCTCTATTGCCCTTTTATCTTCCGTAATTATATTATAATCTTGGTTGTGTGCTTTATCTTTTTTAGTTTAGTTGATAGGCTAGTTGATAGGATTGGAACCTAGGTTGCATAACTCTTTTATGGTAGAGATAGCAACACATTAGTAAAACCGTAGTTGCACATTTAGATAGATTACTTTCTTGCATATGTTTTGCTAAGGAAAAAATTTAAGACCATAGTTAGAAGTAAATTTTTAAGTTGCCTAATTCACCCCTCTCATCTTAGGCGTCACGGTCCCTTACAAGTAGTGTCGAAGCCGGTTGGCTCAATTTAGATCTTTTGCTTCACCGTCGTTGATCCGACGCTATTTAGAGTGGTTGAGATAGATACCTCTATGCCTCCGTATTTTGATGG